TTCTCCAGTGGGATGGCCGTCTTTGTCCACCAGGAGGTTGGGACATTGGTACACTTTCATTTAGAAGGCCGTGCTTGGATTACTACCCACCTACATCTGTAACTTAATCTCACAGAGAAGTGTAACTTCTACAGTCTGTGTACAAATGATCAACTGTTACTTAGTGCTGCGTTTGCTCGCACCGAACGAGGCAAAAGGGCTTTAGTCCACTCTGCTCCTTCTGCATGGAACAGGCTGCAGGAAAACAGGAAGTTAACCGCTTTTCCTGAATACATTTTTGAACACATTTAAAACCAGACTGAGCGCCCTTGAGACAGATTCCCTGTGTTTTAACTGCCTTCTGTAATTTAGTACATAACATGTCTGTGGAGCTGAAAATTTAGTGACTGTAACTTTTGCTGCCTCTTGGCCAGGACTCCCCTGAAAATGAGGTTTTTAATCTCAATGGGACCTTCCTGGTTACATAAAGAATAAATAACAGTGGTTACATGTCAAATATTAATATTCAACTATCTAAGCCTTTTGGATTATTATAAGGACATTTAGACATTTTAATGTTTAATTAATCTATTGAAATCAACTCATATTGATGTGCAACATTATAAATGGTGGGTGCCATTGCCATAGGATATAATGTCACCACAGAATGAACAACAGCGTTTGGTCTGCTGTGGCTACGACCGTCTCCTTGTGCTATTCTCTTCAGTTTTCAGATTCAGTGTACTGATATTTATTTCTTGCTCAGCTGTATTCAGGTGCTGGCCGAGGATGGGGAAGTTCACGTCTCCCTGTGCAACGGTCAAGGCGGGACACCGGCGGATAAGCCAAGGCGTGAGTGGCACAACAGCTGGCAGGTGGCCGCTATGGCAGCAGAAGCACATTTAATCCTCAGTGCTGTTTGTCCGTTTGAAAACGAGAACTATCCAAGCTACAAGTGCACTGGATACAGGTAAGAAACCAAGGTGAGTGTTGACCTTAAAGAGCAGAAGCACCTCTTAGTCCCCCCCCCCCCCCCCCCCCCCCCGTGTGTTTTTGGTGTGTTTGAGGCTGTTTTGTTGTTGCGCAGGAGCCAGGACAAGGGCTTTCATGTGGAGAAAGCTTTGCTCCACATCTTTTCTCGCAGTTTCCCTTACATTCCTGTTCAGATAACTCACATGGAGGAAGTGGTCGAAGGGGAGAATGTCCACTACAACATCCCGGCGGAGCTGAGTGATTACGTGTTCAGGTGCAGTAACACAGCTGCTCTCCTGCTGTCCAGCTTTAAGTACAAGCCACTTACTGTCTCCTCTCTGTCATCAGGAGATTTCTCAGTCCAGATTCTGTCCATCCTGTCAAGTTGGTGCAAGATTTCTTTCTAAAGGAACTGTTGGCACACTGGTCGGTTTCCATGGCAACTGCCTCCGCTCCCTTCCTTATTGCGGCCAAACAGCTGCATTCATGCTGCCACGGCGTTGATAACTCGCAGTGTTACTGGATCCACCTGCTGCAGAGAGACCTCACCTGTCCCGCTGAAAGAAAAGATCCAAACATACAAGAAGCATCAAGTGCTTCAAAAGCTGCCTGCAATAAAGAGAACAGGATGAAGAGCTTATGGCCGGCGTGCTCCAGTGATGTTCACCCTGAAGTGGAAAGTGGTCTATATGCGCTGCGTCCGACATTGCTCCCTCAGCTGAACGAGTTTCTGGCTGGAAAAGAAGCACAGCTTCAGGGGGGGAGAGATGTGAGGTCTGAAGGGGAAAAGAATAAAAACGATGAGGGTTGTAATGGTGCCATCAGCTCATTCTTTGGCATTAGTGGTGTGGTGTTCAGGAACATAGCCATCAGCCTGTGGGCCCTGCCTGCTTTCCACCAGCTTCTCCTCAGAGGTGTTTTCCCTTCAGACACCGAGCCAATTAAATTACTAAGAAGTAGGCTGGAAAAACTCCTTTCTCCCTACAGAGTCTCTGTAGCAACAGAGGAGAGAAGCCTGCAGTTGACAGTAGAGCCACTGGGTTTGGTTGGTGAGGTTTTTCAAAGCAGTGTAGCTGATAGTTGCCATGTCACCATCACTGTCTCTCTGAACCTGGACCTCCTCGCCGTGCTCCTGTTTTCACTCCCTGACTGGCGTTTGCTTTGGTCTCACGAGCCACGTTTCATAAGACAGTTTTCACATGGCCCACCTCCCGGGACGCCTTTCTGTCCTTTTTCTCTGCACCCAGAGCCTTTCAGCTTCGATATCAGTTTCTGGACTGGACCATCGTGGGAGGAGAAGAAGTTCTACGCAGCGATCCGAGAGGCCAGCTTAGGGACGGTGGAGCAGGTTCAACTCATGGACACGTTCTCGCATCCTGACCTGAGCCAGACCAGTTACTGTTACAGACTCACCTACCACTCACACACACACGCTCTGTCACACACACAAGCTCTGATGTTCCACAAACACCTGGAGCTTCTATTGTCCTCTCGACTGCAGGTCACCATCAGGTAGCACGTTGCAGAACGTCCTCATTTTCGGAATGTTTGTGGCTGAAGCGAATCATGATCAGAATGAAACTAATCAAATATTCACAGTAGTTGAAATTATCTGTTAAACATCAATAATCCTGTATGTGTCTTGAGTTTAATCTTATAATAAAACGTATTAACCATTAATCTTTTGATAATAAACCACAACATAAAAGTCACACTCAGTCGTTTAAAAACATACTGACACAGGTGAGTATTTTATAATAAACACCTGTTGTAAAGCTAATGGTCCTGGTATTAAAGATTTTGCTGTTTAGCAGCAGAGCTGCATTACTGCCATCTTCTGGAGTTTTGACCGCATCCAGTCTACTTACTGGTCCTTGTTTCATCAATAACTTTAAAAATAACCTCTGAAATTCAGAAATAAAACTCTAAACCAAATGCACAAAAATAAGCATTAACAAATAGAAATACTTTTGTATACATGTTTCTGTCTAAATTGATTTTTAATTGGTTTATTTGTTATCAGCATTTGATCGAATGGATTTATACGTAATTTTTCAGATCAACTGGATAGAAACCACATGTCGATGGTTGAAACAAGCAAACCCTTCATTGTCTGACTTTCACGATGAAGGATTTTTCCGCCCTCTTGCGGACAGAAGCTGTTACCACAGCGTTTATGTCAAGTTAAACAAGATGATTGGCACTTCCTGTAAAT